CCAGGAACCCACGCGAAATATGTCAAGCAAGAGCAAATTTTACTTTGAGTCAATTAGGCGCATAAATTAGAAAAGTCTACCACAAGTTCAGCCGGCTTCGCTGCCATGGTTAATGCGATTAGAGGCAGCGCCCAACAATGAACAATTTGCGTATAATTAATGCGCATAGTTGGCGTTTTTATGATGCCTGGCGACGTCATTGCCGCGACTTTAAAGACCACATATCTTTCCCCACACAGCGAAAAGACTCAATTGGCAGCGGAAATGAACTTGTTTATGTGTAGCCGTGGATTTGCTTGGCCGCCAGCCAAGTGCCTGCCTCAGACAGGCCAACACTTTTCTTCGTTGTTTGCCCGGCAACAGCAACAGCAACAGCAACAGCAACAGCAACAGCAACAGCAACTGCAACTGCAACTGCAAAACCAACATCAACTCGAGTCAAGGAAAAACAACAGGGAAACCAGCACTGGAAACAAACTGTGAATAAAAAGTTCTCAAACGAATACTTTTTGACGCGCCTGGGCCGCATTGCAGTTCGTGTCATTTCAACTTGCTAACCGAAAATGAACTTGGTGGTAGAGGTTACTCAAATGAAGCCAAGAGGTCACGTCAAATGTTGCCCATTTGGCGACTCTAGTCGCAGTTTCTTGCCCCTTATGTTTTATTTATCTGCAAGTATACTAAAAAGTTTCCACGCTTCAATTATTTCATTTAACTAGTTGCTTAGCTGCACAAACGCCAAGCAAAACTGCCTAGTAAATGAAATTGGAATGTGGTAAATTATTTAGCTATTTTACCTTTCTAATGCGTCCTTGTCGCGCCCTGAAAACTGGACAGCACTGGTCAAGTTCCGCAGAAACTTAAGCAAAATAATTTGCATGCGGGCCAACGAACTCTTTTCCGCTTGCAAAGGGTTCAAAATCCAATTTGCAGAAGTCAGCCACAGAAATTAAACGAAATTCGTTACTTTTGATAAAGTAAAATTCCTAGTTGTAAAGCCATGTAACTCTTCTAATCCGAATTGTATGTGCGTGTAGGTAAAAACAATTTATATTGATGTATTTGATTGATTGCCATGTCCGAAACATTACAAATACAATTACTGATTGACTTAGAAATAGTTTGAAAGTCCTTTGTTTGCTGAATTTAATGTCAGGCATTTCCTGTAATAATTCCATTCAGGCCTCCGCCATCGTCAATCGATGTGGGTTTCCACAATGGCTCCGTTCGACGAGTCATTCAATTGGTGGAGACCCCTTTTGCCCACCAGGCCGAGTGTTCCATGACTTGCAAATGCAGGCGCTAACCAGAAAGATTTGCATATTCCCATTTCGAGTCCAGACCATTACCGACCATCCTGGCTGGCCGACCATCTACCCATCTGCCCATCTACCATCCGCAGTTGAGGCTCCGACCATTTTAGCCCTCCACGTAGCAGGGCCTAAATTATGTCCTGTTGCGGAGTCTCGCTGTTCGCCGAGTTGGTTGAGTTGGTCCGGCCACTGTGAGTCTGTGGCCACATTGCGTATACGCCCGCTAGTCCCTCGTTAATTGCAATGTTTGTCATTTGCCTGTCAATTTGCATTTAAATTACAAAATTTAAACGCTCTTTTTTGTTGCCATGCCGGGAACTTTACGACTGCCAAGATATGGATGAGAATGCCGTTCAGGAGGAGGAGTAGTACCGGGATGAGCCAGTTGAGCCAGGAAAGGAGGTGGCAACGAGGCATTTGTCATGATGGCGCATCCATGGAGAGTCACTTAGACGTATGCTCCATTCCGGATGCCCACGACCACGCTTAACCCAATCTTTTGTTTATGTGGATTCTGAATGAGGCACGGCCATGGCCGCGCAACGTTTTCGGGCTAATTTTGTTGCAAATTGCTGGGCTGTAAAAAATTGTGACGGCAGGTCGAAATTGCTGTGAGGCGTCGACTGGCGGATGACCTCGAACTTTGCTCTCTGACGCGCGGGATGTTGCCATTTAATTAAAGCGACACTCAACTAGGCGCCACCCACATCCAGTTCGTCCTTAGTCCTGTGTGCGTGTTGACCTTATTATGTTGACTTTGTGTGCAGTGCATAAACTGTGATAAAAATCGCATTTTCCATGGCGCACAGCTCGCTTTTCCGCCCACCTCCCCCCCTCCGATAAGTGAACGTGGCTTCCAGCACCCCGTTTTTAAATGTCTATAATTTATGTTGGCCGTTAAACTCACTGGCTGACTTTAGCCTTCCCGTTTGCTGGCTTTTGCTATAGCTTTCGCCTTTGCCGCCGCCTTTGCCGCCGCCGCCGCTTACAACAATTTGATGGCATATAATTATTAGTTCGTATAATTTATGGCTTCATTTTGGCTCACAAAGTTGTGAGCTGCCTTGTGTCTTGTGCATTTCAAGTCGAGTTTGCTAGAAAACAGCGAGGGGTCGCCCCAGCTGATTTATAACTAATTTAGCTGACATTTTTATGAGCTATCGAGAATGCAGCTGCAAGTGATTTTAATCAGTTCAAGCAATATGCAAAAATATGAAAAGAAATTGCCTTTCGCCAGTCAAAAGGAAATCGAGTTCTGCTTCATCAAAGCCGAATAAAAGCATGGCAAAGTGCAATGCAAACTGGAAGTCTTAAGAGAAACTTTGAAAACATCTTTAAAATACATATTTATACAACATATTTGTATATGCATTATAATTCATATGGTTAAAGCAATATTATGTTCATTTATAGGAAACTGAAAGTAGATTTTTTTAACGGAAATCAAAAGTTTTATTTGGAATATAATCAAATCTTATGTCGAACAGATATGTTTTCCGCTGTACAGTGAACTCTGCCGATGACAAATTGTTGGTTGCAAACCACCGTGTCCGCAATTTCTGTTGCGGTTGCATTCAAAGGCTCCTGAAAATAAGTCTCTGCAGAACGCAGGTCCTTGAATGAGTGGTTTGGCGACCATGTGGGGCAATCAAACGCAAGAAAGCCGCCAACCACTCATTAAGGAAAGTCCACAGAGAGTTTCCCCACGAGTATGTACTGTATGTACTTTATATGGGTAGGGGCAAATTGCAGAGCCCACTTCTCGGGAGTTACTGCAACATGCGACGCTGAACTTTGAACTGTCGCAACATGCGGCCTTCTTGTTGCCCACAGTTTGTTGTATTTTTGTATTCGGGTGCGTTTTCCATTCACTTTGCTCTTTTTGCACGTTGAACTTTGAAGGCGTCGAAAAGGCCTAATTATCTTAATTAATGAGAGCCGAAGCGAATTTCGTGGAAGACAAATGTGCCGTGCCGTCGTGCGGTGGCTGCTTTTCGCATGGTCTGTGTGGGTGGTTTGGGTGGTTTGGGTGGCTTGGGTGGTTTGGGTGGCTTGGGTGGTTTGGGTGGTTGGGTGGCTTGGGTGGTTTGTGTGGCGTTGCCTGGCGGCATTCACTCAGCGGTGCAAGGACGTTCTGTGGGTGCTATTTTAATTGTCTCTGCCCGCCGACCGCTCCGTCTGGCTGCCTGTCTGTTTTTATATATATATAGACATATATATCAGGCTGGGTGTGTGTGTGTGATTTTCATTAATTTTACTTCGTTTTTGCCATTTGCGCGCGTCGGTGGCTGCGACCGATTTTGGTTTATGGCCTCGCTACTCGCTCAGCGCTTTTCTGCCGCTTCAGCCTCGTTTTCCCCCTTGATTTTCTCTGGCTTTTTCACCATTTTCCCAGCTCGTTTTCGCTGGCTGTCTGTGTGCGGTTTTTGGGTTCGCCGCATAACGACGCAGGGAAAAGGCTCTGGCAAATGCCCGCCAGGCAATAAGTGGAAAAGCGTGCTAGGCTAGGCGCCAAGGAGAAAGGCAGAGATAGGAAAACTCAGTGGGGTGGCGGGAGGGAAAAGTGTGAAGGAAATGGTAGCTGGGAAAACAATAATAATGAGGCGCCACACAAACACACGGTGCAACACTTTGGCCAACAATTTGTTAAATGCCATATGGGGTGGCGGTGGGCGTAAGCCAAAGTGGAGGCCATGTGGAAGTCGTGTGGCACAAAAATCTAGGCATCCTTTGTGGCCAAGGCTCTGCTGATTTACAGCCAGTTACCGCAGGCTCCAAAATCCAAAGGACGTGTGACTAATGAGACTGGGCTGCCAGTGGACTCAATGTGGATTTCGGCCGTTGTTTTGTTTACGCTGATGGCTAGGATACAAATGCAAATTCCCTCGGGTGCCACGTGCAGATATTTTAGTGTGTGTGGATCCCAAGTTTGTTATTTATTAAAATTCCTGTAATACTCGACTCCTGTTCGATTCACCATTCCCCATTTATGTTTCATTCCCAATAATGTTTCATTATTCCAACTGCGCAGGATCCTTCCAGCTGCTAAAGCTTTCGCTCTCGGGAGAAAGTAAGAGCGCGCAAGAGAGAGCCGCTTTCCCGTTTGTGGATCCCGTTGGAACTGGCACACTCCCCCCATTGTTCTTGGCCAACTCTTTTGCTGTTGGCCATCTCCGCTCCCGGGAGCATCGAGCCGCCTTCTTCGGCTCGTCTGAGTGCCCTGCAATGGTCGCGTCAAGTGCCCGATTGACAACTGACAAGGGGCCAAAGTTCACAGCGGTTTGGGTTCACCCTAACATTTTCACATTAAGGGAGGTACAGGTTTTTTCCCCATGGGATGAATGCACATTTTCGTTATCAATAATAGTAAATTTTGGGATTTCTATAAACATAAGGAAAACTGGTTGAGCAATAAGTTCTTTGTACTTCTTAAAGAATCTTAAATATGTAAATCTTAAAGATTCCACGGAACTGAGTAGACACAATGATTAGCGTTTCTGGCATTTTACTTATTAAATTTATAATTATTACAATAAAGCTTCATTTCCTTTATTTTTTTGTATATTTAGTTGGATACCCTTGCGAAGAATTAAACATAAAAAGTGTTATGTAAAATGAATCCCCCTTTAACTCAGCCCTCATCATTCTGATAGTTCAACTTCATTTAAATAGACCACTTTTTGTAACGCTTTTTTCCATAGTTTGCTGTAATTTTACTATATTTCTTTGATAAACAAAACAGTGACTACAAATCATACAAGAAAACATTTTTAACTCCTTGCCATCTTGCTGAAACTCCGTGAAAGATTTATACAATTTTCCCTGGTTTGGTATTACGAGTTCGTTGCCGTTTCAGTTTATCATCATTGTCAGCATTTTTGGGCGTGCTGGCTGGTGGGCGGGAATTTGCATTAGGCGGCGCTGGTCTGCTGCGGTTCCTGGGTGGTGCTGGTGGAGGCGACAGCCGACGATTCCGGCGCCTTTTCGTTGAGCGCCAGCCAGGGACATCGCTTCTGCAGCTCCATGCGGTATCTGGGGTGACTTATGGCGTACACGAACGGATCGATGCAGGCCACCATTTTGCAGGCACAGGCGGGAATCATTGTGGCTCCGGGCGTCAAAAGGGTCTTATCCCCAAAGGCGCCAATCAGCGACATAACTCCGTACGGCGTCCACGAGCAGAAGAACAGGAAGCAGATGGTGATGGCCGCCTTGGCTATCCGGATTTCCGCCGTCTCCTTGCTTTTGTCCACGTTCGAGCGCAGAGATTCCACGTTCATCTTCTTAGCCTGATCCCTCAGTGCCTTTTCGTGGCTAAACACATGGCCCACAATCTGGGAGTAGTAGTACGTGATCATCGTCGTGGGGCACACGAAGCTGAAGAAGAAGATGCAGCCCACGAAGAGGCGCGTGTCAAAGTTGTCGGTCAGATAGTCAAAGGAGCAGGAGGTCAGATAACCCTCCGGCACAAAACGACCCCAAGTCTCCGTGTAGCAGGCTACCACCCAAGGAGTGGCGTACATGTAGATGAATATGATCATAGCAATGGCCTTGCCATGCGTCATCTTGCCCTCCATGGGTCGCGTGATCACATTGAATCGATCGTAGGCTATAAACGCGTTCGTGGCACCGGCAGCGATTCCCGTATAGGAGCCAATGATGCCAAAGATCTGGCATCCCAGATGACCAAGCGCGTATCCCTGGTGGAAGCTGTTGTAGATGAATATCGGGGTCTTGATCATCATCATGAAGTCGCAGAAGGCCAGATTGATGACCAGTATATTGGAGGGAGTGCGCAGCGACTTGGCTGCCGAGAAGACCCAGATCACCAGTCCATTGCCCACAATCGACATCAAAGCGAAGAAGATGTAGAGCGTGCCCAGCAGGTAGTTCATCGACTCGGGCGGCTCCGGATAAGTTAGCCAGTGCTCGGGAATATGACGCAGTTCCTCCGGCGGCACATTCCAGCCCAGCAGACGCGTTTCCGCGGAGAGACGCGCCTCCGCCCGCAGCGCAGTGGACAGGTTGCCAAACAGACTCGACGACACGTTTGCGGACTCCATGCTCCGGTCCTCGGGCCAAGACGAAATCACAGCCAGCACGGCTTGGGGCTTTTATACGGCCCATCGGAATTGGATTAGCATTGTCGCGGCGGGATTAGCCGTTTGGGATTGGCCTAGTCGCTTGCTGACATTTTCGCTGGCACTGCATTCGCTTTGATTCTCGATTGAGGGTGCTGTACAGCTCATTTGAAGGTAAGTGGATAGTAGTTAACTAAACCTTTTTGCACCCAAGCCATTTAACTTCTCAGTTTTCAGTAGTTTCACCTTGAAAAGTATTTACAACATATTTATTTTCAATTGAAATTTGGCAGATAGAAAACAATTTATATAAAATAGTTGAATTACTCTATATTAGCTTTATTAATAAAACTTCGACATGCTGGTTTCTTTATTTTATTATGAGTTATCTTAGTAGTTCTATATGCCAGGCTATTTAGCGTTTTATGTATTAAACTGCCAAATACGGAGTAGTCAGCTGCTCTATTAAACTTGAACTCGAAGACTACTCCACATGGAACGAGGTGGTCCACTCCCATGAGCGAGTGCAGCTCAGTCGACTGATAAAATAATTTCTCCGACACCGAGGTACATTTTCTAAATTGCGTGCCCCAAAAGTACACTTGAAGAAGTTTGTGCTATCCTATCTGATCTGCGCATATAGGTTTGGAAATTCCCCATCTGACAGTGGGGCGGCGGGGCGGCTAACTGGGTATCCGGTGCCATAATCAGAGTGTAGCAATTGGGCTGGGGCCACGCCTACTTATTAACTCATAAAACAAAAAGTGTAGCATACTTTGGCGCGCGTCCCAAGACGACACACACACACGGACAAAGCGATGTGTGTGTAATTATATGTGCGCGAGCAGCAACAATTTAGGTCATAAATCATATGGAAAAAGCACACAAAGGCATGCAAATATTCCCCAATTCCCCGCAAAGCCGACAACCGCACACACATACATACATACGGCCTTGCATGTGTGTGCGTTTTTCAAGGGGTGGGGATCGTACGTGTGCATATGCTAAAAGTATGTACAAAGATTGATTTCCCTTTGTTTGCCTTTTAGTGTGTGTGAATGTGTTCTTCGCTTATTCACCTCCATTCCGCAGGTCTACAGAACCCAGCCCCCCAATTTACCACAGCTCTCAAAAGCCCCAATCCCCACCCAGATCCGCCAACGCGGGCTCCACATCATAGACTACGTACATCAACTACATAAAGCTCCATGGGTGGTAATATTATATGCTGAATGAGTTGCCTGTTGAAATAATATGTTATATTCACTTGGTTTCGATTTTTGCTTGCGCCTTTGGCTTCCGCCACGTTTTTTGCATGCCCTAACATAGAGTATTTTCATTCTGTGTCTGCCTAAAAATGCACATTGTTAAGTTTCTTGAAATTATAAAAATGATTGGTAACAAAACTCTCTTGTTAAAGTGGGAAATCTACGAAATAGGCTAACGATATGTCCATCTAATGTGTCTAACTAGACTTGCTAAATGTGGTGTTAGAAGCCAGGAAAGCCAGGGGCTTTTAGGGTATTCCTCAGCCTTCGAATCGAACTTTCCCTTTAGTTGCTTTCGTTTTTTGGTGGTGGCAAGGTGAATGACTCTGTGGGGACTTCTGTTGCGAGTGCGGGGCTCGGGGCACGAATCTAGTGTGGATTTCCATGTAATTAAGGACAGCTGTCGGCGGCCCACAATTCCCTGGTGCCATTGGAGCAAACGATAGCGATGGGGAGCCAAATGGCACTGAGCTCGCCGTGCCAGGTTGATTAGTGTGCAGCATAAATGGAACATGTGTTCCTAGAGAACTGGGCGGCAGAGCTGCCACTTCCACTTTGTCGATTGTCGCCGGCACTGATTAAATGATTTCATTAAGTGATTGCTGCCAAAGCTGACAGCGTCAATTAATGACAAGCGGAAATGAAAATGAAATGCGGCTTAAAAAGAAGTAAAACGATGAAAAGCCAGCTGGGCTTTCATTTTCGTTGACCAGTCCAAGTCGTAAGCTACGTGTAAACAAATTACGCAGCCAAGATGTATCTTAAAGATAAGTAATTGCCAACTTAGCTTCTGGATGCATATTTCATTTATCAGATTTAAGAACATTTTTCTTGGCTGAATCTACTGCAGCCATAAATCCCTGCCTTTTGAATGCAAACAGGATTTGCGGAATTTTTAGCATTTGTGGCTGGCAATCCATTAATTGGTTTAAGATATGCAACGACAAGGACATATTTACATGAACACGGCCAGCGGGTAGCAGCTGTTGAACAGACACAAACCAATTTGCAGTTTGTAATGAACATTTTTTGGCAAATCTGGGGGAATTCGGATATTTATTTGCATTACCACCTGCAACTCACCCACAAATGCCCCTTGGCATAGACAATCCCGCATATTACTCATACGTGGCGTTGCACAAAGTCGAGTGTATTCGGGGCATTTACTTGTGTTTGGGGTCGTATGTGGCCTCACAGGACCTCGGTGCCATCCTTTCGGCTATGGCACGGTAATTGATTATCAAATTCAGCGTTGCATTTTGCCATGGCTCCGGGCCATAAAAGGTTGAGTTGCAGCATCGCAGCATTGGCCACAACGTCCCCTCTTGCCGGCAGCTCCTTCCGGATCCCGTTCCTCGATTTCTTTTCCACATTCAACATTCTTTTTTGCCCTCGTTGGCATAAAAAGTTTACTCGTCCTTTTTTGGCATGCAAAAAATGGGCTCATGGGAGGCGTGGCATAATGTGTGCTTGCGTGTGTATAGCTTGTGGAGTAGCGAACATATTTTTAATGTGCAAAAATCTGTGAAATTTGTGCTATGTCGCTTTGATTGCAGTTTGGTGAACATATTTTACTGTGCGTGTGTGTTTGGTATGTCATGCAGCAAAGGGAAAGATGTGAATTCACTTTGGGAAAGCTTATGCTCGCCAAATGGGAAAAAGTTTGCAAAACGGTTTCCCGCATTAGCGAAACTATTTAAGGCCTTAACAGTGTTTAATTTTGTATGATTTTGGATGCAAAAGTGGTACTTAGGCACATCGTTTGAATTAGTTGTACTTTCCTTTTTTAACTTGTCGAATATGTTTAGTTTTTCCAGTATTTTTGTGCGGGAAAACATATTAATTTTCCATATTATATTCTATTTCTTAATTTAATGTGTATAACATCAAGAGTTACCGTGAGCATTTAATTTAGTTTTTCAGAAAAAACAAGGTAGCAAGACTATAATAACTTGTAGTTGTACTCAAATTTGATAGTCAAGATAATTTTTTAACAGTTTAATTTGCTTTTATTTAGGAAAGATAGCAGTTTTATGTTCCAGCTAAATTCCGCGCGCTGCCATTTTATCTTCAGGCAAAACTTATGAAAAACTTAATCAAGCCAAATAAGTGTACATAAATAGTTTCCATTTAATATTCCGTGTATTTCCCATGTGCAATTCAAGAACATGCTAACGCAATTTACGGTTAATAATATAGTTGACAACGGACTTTGATACAACTACTGTGCCGTCAGCATTTAACAAAGTTTCATTGTCAATTCGATTATTTTGATATCTCGACAATTCAATCAATAATTATCCCGAACATTCGTGGGTATTTAATTCTGGCCCTAACCCCGATTTTCCAATAATGGTTTTTCGGGTTGGATCTTGATGGCGACTCCATAAAGTGATACCTCCCTTCTCCGCAGGGCAAAACAAATATAAACCCATTAAGGCATTTATTATTCTACGAGGTCGAAACAAAAAATGCATGGAAACCCGTTATTGTTATCAATTCTAATTAATTAAAATGAAATTTGGTTGCGGCACCAAATTGAACATTTTTGCAATCAATTGAAATTCAATTAAAATACGTTGCCAGCTGGCAATAGCTTTTGTAGAAAGCCCACGAATACAAATGCGTGAAGTGCAAGGGTTAAGTGGGCGGAGGAGCGGAGGAGCGGAGGAGGTGTGTGTTTGAAAGCCATTAGGCAGAATACCAACGGTTACATGACGCAAAACGAAATCCATTTAGTTCAATTAAATTTATTCATCAATAAAAAATAAAAGCTCAGCAACGGCAATTTACAACAAAGGGGGGCCACATAAAACCCGAATTTCGAATTAATTACGTAAAGCGGAAACGGAAATGCGAGCACGCCACTTAGGCGAGCCCCAGCCAAAACATTTCCCCCTTTCCCCATGGAAACTCGCCCCGGCGCTCCTAAGCATAATAAACTTGGTTATGCCGCAAATTATTCAAGCGAGGCGCTCGACTGAATCCGTTTTCCAAGCGAGCACTCTAGACTGTGGGGCAGCTTCACCAGCGACCTTGAGCACAACTGTACTACGGCCACAAGGACACGCCCCGCTCCTGGCCATGTGGCCATCAACCGCATGATTGTGTTCATCAATTAGTTATAAATCACACGCCTTTGGTCACGGCTTTCGACTCGGCAAAAGAGGGAGATGCAACCCGCTGAAGTTAAGATCATACACAGTTGAATTCGAACGGACACTGGGCAAAACTACTATGTTATACTTAAATAAACACTCCTCAATGGCTCACAATGCAGAGAACTTTTGCATTTACTATGAAAGCATGGTACAAGGAAGTTAATAATATATCAAAAGCCAACACTATAAATATTCTTATTATTAGTCATTCAATAAGCTTTTGTGAGGCATAAAACTGTAAACTTTTCCAGTAAGTTCCGATACAAAAGCAGCCTGTAAGATGTATGATGATGTATAAGTAAGATGAAATCTGTAGCACTGTGTGCCATAGAGTTTAGATGGGCTCTAACAAATTGCAATTTTTACAGACAATTGTGTGCCGGCCCAAGCGGCGTATGCGTCATTTGTTGAGATGACCTCTGCTTGTCCTGTTACGAATGGGCGATTTATGATGATCCTTGAAGAACAACAGTGTGCTTTTTCTTTACCCCTACTTCAAAATGCCAATACATGATTAACTCGAACGCTGATTCGCATGTCCTTGTTTGTGCGTTCATATATTATGTACACA